TATATAACTAGACTGTATCTGATCACTTGAAAACATAGTTGTTTTATATAGTGATGTAATGTGTTTATTGAATTTACTTGTCTGGAGCATCTGGAGTTACTAAGAATGCCAGTAATTCTGCTACGCTTATAAAGGGCAGCACCATTTTAAAATTTCATTTATTCATTATTCATGATAAACTTGAAATTCTTTATTGCAGGGGGCTAATATTGATAGTGTTGACATAGAAGGTCGATCCCCACTTCTGTTGGCCACTTCCTGTGCATCATGGAAAATTGTGAATTTACTGCTCTCAAAAGGTAAAAAGGAATATACATATATGATATACTTCCTTTGAGCAAGGTTCATACATGTTAAAACTCTGCGTCTAACTTTCCTCTCAATTTCAGTTCAGTACTTTAGCATACAGTCCAGGAGCAGCTGAGCTAAACAGCTGCACAGTGCTGGTATCTACTGAGATGAAGGAATAATTAGGGTGATGATTTCACCCTTTTTAATACAGAGTGAACAGTCTGTAGAAAAGTGTGTGTGCCATGTGTCATGCTTTTCAAGGTAGAGGTGGCACTGGCAGTCCATCCCTGCATTCCTTAGCAGTTCATAAAGTGAGCAGAACTGTGGAATAAATACACCACTTATACAGTCAAGTTTTGTACCAGCAATCAGTCTTTAAATGTTAAAGCCTATATTTCAAGCTTTACCTGTGATTTTATATAATCACAATCACCTTGAAAATGTTTGAGCTATATCTTTCAATTGCTACACTTCTGATGCAAGTTAATTATTGTTACTATATTTCCTCTTGTTAATCATAATATAACTGATTTTGTTAATAAGCAATGTAATGAGTTTAGAAGCTGTAACAACATTACAACTTTAAAAGATTAGAGGAGGTGATCATCTGCATCTTTCAATTACCTCTTGATTTGTGGATGCTCAGTATCTCTGAATATTAGGGCCCCACATAATTCTTAGTGCTGCAATGAAATATAAAATGCATACACACGTGAGACAACAGTGAAATCTGAGTGTCAGTAGGGGGCTTTTTTGTAAGTAAAATTATATGTTATAATGTTGACTTGAAATAGTATTTGTTATCTTATGGATTTATGAACATATTTATTGAATATTTGTTCCTTTGTCTTAAACATCATCAGTTAGTGCCAGAGGCCAGCAGTTTTGAAGTTGCTGGTATTTATTTCCGTATTTATCTAGGAGCAAATGTATCATTAAAAGATCATCTTGGTCGGAATTTCTTACATTTGACGGTATTACAGCCTGGAGGATTACAGCATCTGAATGAGAAATTTCTGCAGGTACAGTAAGCATCAATTTATGTCTTTCTGTTACGATTACTAGAAAACGTAAAGAAAGAAGCAACTACCACTTTATTCTGGGAAGTTTGTGGAAGTTTGTGGTACTTTTTAAGTTGCCCAGTGTCAGAGAAAATAGTTTGAAGAGGTAGATATCTCATGAAAACATTTCAAAGCCAATAATACAGTTTTCTTATTGCCAGGCAAAGGAATAACATAATCCCATAAATTATTTTGCTGTTGGGGGATTGAATAGCTGAAGAGGTAGGCAATAAAATATAGAACTTTTCACTTCTATTTTCCCAGCTTGCATGCAGTAAAGCTGGGGGACATGCTCGTATTCAGTCAAGCTCTAGGACTTTAGATTATAACATATTCTGCAGGAGCTTTCTGTGGACTGGACTGAAGTCTTGGACTGTAATAAAGTCTTGGATTTAGTTTTAAAAATAATTTCAAAGATGGATTTGTGTTTGTCTATGCTGAGGTGAAGCACTCATATAGCTAGAGCCCAAGCTTGCTTGAAAGAATTAAATTTGCTAGCCTCCAGAGCTCCCTTGTATAACCGATCTTACAACATCTGCTGAAAACTGTGAACAACTTTGATTAGTAACACAGAATGGATGTAACCTCCCTTTTCAGCAGATGTAGAGAATCAGTTTTAAACCAGAGTGGTAACTCTCAGTTGTCTGTGTTGACTTTCGAATTATTGATCATACTAATAATTCAGACAAAGGACTGGAGCAGAGCAGGGGAGGAGATTTTTAGTTGCTTTAATAAAGGCTACAGTTAGACAAGGTATGGAGGAAAACTGGGGAAATGAAGATGAGAAAGAGAAATTGGGGAAATAAAATTACACTGTAAACCAGTGAATTGATGGGTTTTGGCAGCCAGTTTTGCTACTGAATACAGGCTATAGACTAGCTGTATATATTCTGTACAAACCTTCTGTTGACAGCAATGAGTATTATGGTTAAATGGCAGCAGAGAACAGTCTCCTGCATTACGCTTGTAATGTGGATGGATTGCAGAAGGGTGCACAGTGGCAAACTGCTGTGTTCCCTGAAGAGTAGTTTTTTAAAAAATGGTGACCCACAAATCAGTAGACATTAAATTCTCATTGTTGCTAAATTTACCTTTCCTAAAGTTTGTTTCTTATTTTTTAGATACTGCTTTAAAGTATTAATGCTATTGTTACAAGCTATTAGAAGCTGTGGAGTATTGGTGACATAAATGTAATTCTCTGCTTTTGGGGTTTTTTGGGGGGGTAACAGATGGAACATATTAAGAATCTTGTAGTGGATGAAGACAACGAAGGATGCACACCATTGCATTATGCATGCAGACAAGGTGTGGCCCTCTCTGTAAATAATTTACTCAGCCTCAACGTTTCCATCTACTCTAAGAGCAGAGACAAGAAGTCACCATTACACTTTGCTGCCAGGTTAGTAGTGCAGTCTAGCCAGTGGAATCAATGCCTTTTTTTCAAACTGTAATTTTTTTTTTTTTCATTAATTTCTATGTTTATCTTTCAAAGCTATGGGCGCATCAATACATGTCAACGACTTATAAGAGATATGAAAGACACAAGACTGTTGAATGAAGGTGATAAGAAGGGAATGACTCCCCTTCATTTGGCAGCCCAGAATGGTCATGAGAAGGTAGTTCAGTTTCTTCTGAAGAGAGGAGCCCTTTTCCTCTGGTAAGTTTACAGGTTTCCGTTCATTAAGACAAAAAAGAATTATCACCCTACATTTTATGTCCTGTTTGCTGTGAAGTTAATGCAATATAAATACAATATATCAAAATATTTAATATATTAATATATACAAATATAAATATACAATTTAAGAACATATTTATAAAATATTTGTAAAACTAAGCTGATCGTGCCTTGCTTCAGCCTGACACATAGAATCATAGCTAGCTGCAAAGCAAGACTTCTAATGCTGGGGTAACTGAGCTTTCTCTAAATCCAACTGAGAGAAGAGAACCTTTTGATGGAAAAAATATTGTTTTGGAAATATTATAATCACATTCTTAGGATTGGTGCTTCACAGGCAACTTGCTTTGCACTCTCAAGTCCTGTTTTGAGGTCAAAGATCCTCAGATCATTGGCAGCTCCACAAAAGCTTCCACGCTCACAACTGTAAACCCAGGAGCCAAAGCTACCAAAAGAGAGTTTGAGAGTCCTGTTTCCAAGGTATAGGCTAGAGCTTTAACTTTGAAGTGCTGTGATTCCAAGTCCACTGCACCTACGTGTTGGAGCTAGGAGGCTGAATGTTCCAAGGAGATCCTTTAGCAAACAGACATGTCATACGTTCATTATTTATGACTACGGAGGACCCACTAAATGGATTACTGTCAAATCCTTTATTTCCAGTGTCCTTAGCTGGACTAGTACATATTGCAAGGATAGAGATTATTATATATATATATGAACTAGAAGTATATGTATGTATGCATGTGTATCTGTGTGTATACATGTGTGTATGTATGTATTCAGGCCTAATTTAGACTTAAGTCTGTCATTTTAAAAATAAATAGCTTGGCAAGTTCTGTGTTATAAAAGGCTTAATGAGTTTCATTATACTAAAATGAAGTAATATTAATAGGTATAGATTTGTATGCTTATAACATCTTTAAATGCAAAATTCGGTAATATGGCCATGATCTATGCCACATCTGTTGCTGAGTGTTAGTAACAGAATATTGCAAGTGTTTGTGTCATTTTCAAGGGACGTATAAGAAGTGGGCGCAATCCAGATATATACAGAAAAAGGGAGAGAGAAGGAAAGAGAGGGAGATTCAAATCTTATTATTGAATTGTTACTTCCTAATGAACATTGATAATCACATTTGTTGACAGAAGGTATGGACGTCTCTGCAGTAGTCATGCCAAATAAGAGGTTTGAGTCAAGGAGCAGGCATTTACATTTACCTAAAATTTAGAAAAAGTTTTCCATTTTTAATTACTAATTTTATACCACTACATATAAGTGATTATAAAGGCTGGACAGCCTTGCACCATGCTGCCTTCGGAGGATACACTCGCACAATGCAGATCATTTTGGATACTAATGTGAAGTGTACTGACAGAGTGGATGAAGAAGGGGTATGTGTTCATATAGCATTATTTATTTCTTGTCTGCTGTTACTTCTATACCAAATGTTGGCGATATGTTGCCAACTAGTTTTCCAGTGTGCATTACATGTGTAATATTTCATTTCCTGTGGCAACTTTGAAGTCTTTCTATTTCACCACTGTTAAAGTTTATAGCTTAGATTAATATGATTGTTGAAATTTTTATCTAGTTCTTACAAGTGGGAGACAAAAAAATGAAATAGCCTAATAGAAAACATAAAATACTGAGTATTATAGATGTGTCCCTCTTGCCTCCTTTACAATGCAAGAGTATTTTAACAATGTAGTACGTTTAAATTTAAAGAGCTTATACAGATTTAAAAAAATCCAATATCAATAATAGCTCATTAACTTATGGTTTGAAATCCATCTCTTCTGTGTGGTGATGTCCAACAGATACAGCTCCTATCTTGCCCTGTATTTTGGACAAATGCAGTATCTATTGGGTCAAGACAGAATTCATTTCCTGGATTGGAGACCTCTTGTATGAACCTGCCTAACAGTTTCCCATCAGAAAACATAGGGTGATCACTTTAAAGAACTCTTCAGTTTCCAACACAAAAGATGTTGCTGATTTCTCCGAGAACTGGTGTTGAAAACATTTTAAATTATTAATTTCTTGCCTAGAAATTAATGAGAAACCAATGCTTAGTTCTTAATTTCCCCCTCAGAAAAATCTGGGTGAGCTGGGAAGGCTTTCACAAGTTAGTTTCAGTGTGACTTGATTCCTAAACTGCTCATCGCCTTACTTTTATGAAAATACCAGAGGAAAAATGTTCCTCTTGCAAAACTGTGCGTGCAGATTTTCTTGCAGATTTGTTTGTATGAGCACATCTGGAAATAATTGGATGCTTCTTTTCCTAACTATCAAATGCAGATGTTCTGTATCTGTAGATACTATCATTTTTACCTATTTGTGATTTGCAGTGTGTTAGTTACAAAACTAAATTATATTAATTAATTGGCCTTTCTTACCTACAGCTGAGTTTCTTCTTCAGATTTAGCACTACTGTAGCTGTAGACACAGAGTAAAGAACTTCTCTATAATATCTATCAGAATATTTGACAATAATCTACTTTTTAATGTTGGTAGTAAAAGTATTCAGGACTTGCAAATGAGAATTGCATGGGGCTTTTCAGTGCGGGAATGGACTTTTTTTTTTTAATGATTCTTATGGATGCATTGCTCTACTACTTTTCTGGACAGAACACAGCTTTGCACCTGGCTGCAAGAGAAGGACATGCAAAAGCAGTAAGGTTACTTCTTGACTATGGTGCAAAAATTCTGTTCAACAAAGCAGTAGCTTCTTTTTTCCATGAAGCAATACACAATAGGAGGAAAGATGTAGTCTCTGCTGTCATTTTGCACAAAAGGTAAGGTACACAGAAAATGTTTTTTTAATTTATTTTCTGTTGTGTTTTCTTTTGATTTTTTTTAAACTGAGATTAAGTTCTGAAAACCTGTAGTTTAATAAGTAAGACTGAGTATATATTTTAAAATTCCAGAGATTATGTTGTGTTCTACTGAGAGCAAATTAAAAAATGGCACAATTGTAATGGACAATCAGATATGTGGCATGTTGTTTTGCATATTAGATTGAGTATTTGGATTCCATTAAAAAACCCAAACAAAACACCTAGGCACCATTAGAAATAAGTAATCCTTCCCATGTCTTCCCTCTTATTACGTACGTAATTTTGACCTTCCACATAATGCTTCAATGTCTACAGCATTTTAATCAAAATGTGGGTGCAACTGATACCATTCAAGAGAATTAATTTAAATATGTTGTTTTAAATGTTGCAAGTATTTTAAATGTGGCAGTTCAACTGCAGGTTAGAATATTTTATATTATGATATAGTGAAGCCCCACTTCAGGAATAAAAATGTTGCACCATTGCCTAATGATCATATCTTATGGTAACAGTTGCAGGAACACTGCCAATTTTTTTTACTGTATTTATTATTACTCACCTAAACTTGTAACTCAGGATTCCAGCTTTAGTCCAAGTGTCATATTTTTAGAAGGTCTTAACATAGTTAAAACATTTGTGTCCAATTGATAACAGAATTAAATATGAGTCATTCTTAAAGAAGCATCTAGAATGTTACTCAATTAATCTGATATGGCTAATTTTACAATTGATGGTATGTAAACTTATTACATGTTGTGATTTGAAAGATAATATCTTAAATAAAACTCAGATAATCTAAAAGTAGTTAATTTAAAAGAGAAGCAACTAATTCATTCACCATTATCTCAACTCATGTTTGCAGATGGGAAGAAGCTGTTGTGACATTCTCTCACTATTCTAGTGCCAATAAGTGTCCTTTGCTGGAAATGGTTGAGTATCTTCCCGATTCATTTAAAGTAAGTTTTCTGCACGTGTTAAAGAAATAACCTTAGTTAAATTGTATCATTTGCCATTATTTTTCTAATGCTGTCCTCATGTATTATTATAAAATAGAAAAGATATAAATTCATAAATTTATTTAATCATGTTTTAGTACTAGTTTCAGTTTGGCCAGTTTAACTTTTCTAGTATTAGAAAAAGTTCTTAGCTCCCTGAGGTCAATAGAGTTGTAAGAGTATAAAAGTAGTACAAAAAGGAGTATAAAAGTTATGCAAGTCAGAAGATAATTGGGTTTAAAACCATTTGAGATATTTTCATCTTCTGACCTAAGTGTTAAATGATGCTACAGAAATGCTTTTTATTAAAATAGCAAGTGACTTGGTACATGTGTATTCATGAACACTTCACATTTTATACTTGTAAACTAGCATGTAGCATAGTTTCATTATTTAACTCCCATGTGTAAAGTTTTTTGCCTTCAAAACATACGTAAAGTTTTTTGTCTGCATCATCGCTTCCATTAGATGACTGCTATATTTGGAGGTCATTTTCTTTGGGTACAAATGTTATATTCTTTCTGTTTAACGTTATCTGTGTCACCTTAATTCACTTTTCATCTGCAAAGCTGGTTTTGGACAACTGCATAATTGAATCTTCAGAAGAAAAGACAAGTCGAGACTTTTATGTAAGTGAATTAAAAAATTTATAAAGACAGTACATTTTACCATCTTAGGATGCAATATGTCACAATGTGCCTGGCTATATGTTAGCGGCAGTACATTATTTGGATAATAATAAAGTTAGAAAAAAATAATCAGCTTGACTTTTAGCTACTAGTACTGGACTAAATTCTCATACCTCTTAAATATTTTGTATAGTTGCAATTATAGTTCTATAGTTGGTAAGTTGAAATCAGCCAATATTTTAAATTGATTCATGAATAACTTGGTAGTTATTCACCAATAACTGTATTTGAATCCATGATATTAATACATATTTGGCAAAAAACTCAGTATTAGGATGACTTAAAAATCAATTCATGGGCTACTAGTGATCTTCAGCTATTAGTCTTTCTTTTTTTTTCTCAGAAAAGCCACTGATTTAATTCTCTTTATTGCCTCCATGACACTGAAATTAACATGTTTTTCACTTGAAAGTTTGTGAAATACACAATTTGTACAATTTGTAACGTATATGTCAGGTTCATATGGATAAGATACACTTGTCAATGAGTATCAGATCTTAACAGAAAAAAACAGGTGACTCATTTCATCCTTTGGGCTGTAAACAAATGTTAAGTTCAATTTCTGTAATCTTTATGCTTATGCATTTTAACAAGTGTAACATTAAACTTTAGCAATCTATAGACTTTATCTTTGCTATGTTAATTCTTGCAATCAAGCTGGGTATCAGAAGTCGTGGATATCTCAAAATAACAGTGATAGAAGACATAATATCCATTTATGAGTATCAAAAGCTTGACTATCATAAGTAGTACAATTGTCATCAATAATTCACAGTCCAGCATGTTTCTTTTTTGTAAATTCATGTCTAAAATCTTAAGCAGTAGATTGCTTTCATAATACTAAAGAGGCGTGAATGTTCTACAGTTATGTTACCTTTGAAACCATATTAAAAACCACTAATTACTACGTTGGATTATGTCCACATCATTAACAGAAAACTTACAAATTTGTTACTACTGTACATTTTCTTTACATTGTGTTACCAACACCATATAACTTTTAAATACAAACTTTTCTTCAAAGTCAACATTAAAACAAATTATAGTCATGAGAATGACCTTTTTAAACTGTAATATTTTAAGAAGAAATGTGTATATTTATTTTACAATTGTTTGTTTGCTTAATTACCTTACAGTCACAGATGTGTATCTGGATAGCATGTGCTCACTGGCTTGAGTAACTAACAACCAGTATACATCAGAGTTCTAATTACTTTGAAACAATATGTTTTGGGGTTTTTTTTCCTCTCGAAAGGATAACCTTTTTTAAATTGACCACATTATCTCAGTCTTAGTTGATCAGTTTCATAATATTTAAATGCTGGTGTATGCTTATTATTCAGATTGAATATAACTTCAGATATCTTCAGTGTCCCCTGACACTTAACAAGAAACTAAAGGATGGTGAAGACATATTCTATGAACCACTTACCACTTTAAATGTAAGTTATTTATTTATTTTACTCTGACGTGATTCCATGCTGGTTTGCTTTAGATACAATCAAGAAGTTTGAATTTTTCATCATAATATTTCTTTTACAAAGCCCATAACTCTTTATATTTACAGTATATTGTCATCTCACAGGCATAGTTGGCAACAGTCTGTACAATTTTTTTGAAACTTGAAGTAGACTAGCAGAGCAGCAGGAGAGAAACTGGATGCTTAATTAGGCAGAGAAGGCAAGACAATAATAGCTTTGGACCAGAGTGTGTAAACAAAAGAGCTTTGCAGCATCTTACAGACATTTTACTTTTCATTGCACTAATACTCAAGTAAAGACGGTGCCTAGCCAGCTTTGTAAGCACCTTATTTAGCTAGATGAGATAAGTTTTGATCCTTCTCCATTTTTGTTTTGTAGGCCATGGTACGCCACAATCGCATGGAGCTACTCAGTCATCCCGTGTGTAAAGAATATTTGCTTATGAAGTGGTAGGTGTATTTTAATGTACATAAAATATAATATTGCATGTCAGGATGAAGGCTATTGTGCCTGAGAGTTGTTTACTAAGATGTACGTATATATAGTGTTGACTGAAGCAAATATCTTTTCCATATAACCTCTCATAAGCATATTTAGAATATGCCAAGGATTATCATATAGAATGTAGCTTACAGTTTAGTAATGATTCTTTGATATTTAGAGCAAAGGCAACCACTATCTTTGTTTCTGCTTTATTGCAAAATTATATATTAGGATTGGGTAGTTAAAAAGAAAGTGAACAGTATTTCAGAATGGCTGATACATTTTTGTCCACATAAAACTTGATGAACATATTAATCACAACAGGACTTTTTAAGAAATGTTTATTTCCTCATCTTGCAAACATTGTTCACTGTTCCATTTGAATGCATGCTATTCTAAATTTGTAAAGTGTTATAACTTTAACATTCTTACTTTCAAGGATGGCCTATGGGTTTCGAGCACATCTGATGAATTTAGGCATATATTCTCTTGGACTCATCCCGCTGACTCTTCTGGTCACTCACATACAGCCAGGAAGACCTTTGAATGGAACAGAGGTCTATGAAGCAAGACCATTAGAATATGAGGTACTGAGTTTTCTTACTGCTTACAATATGTGTTAAGATTTTTATAGCAAAAAAAGAGGCATGACTATTTACATTTCTATAATTATTTATGATTTAGCAACTCTAAGGAATAGAATTTAAGTGTATATTTTAAACATTCAACACCAACTTCTGTAGGTAATTTTTAGTTCTCATTTCTTATTTTTAATCTTTTCTGGAAATTTTACATCTGATACATGGTTACTTCAATTTTTTTCCCTGAAGTGAATGTTTCTTTAATGTTGAACAAAAAAGAGTAATGTGTACTTAATTATGAAAAGATAGGAAACAGTGGATTCTTTAGCTTTCCCTGTCCTTTTAACTTTCAACCAAAATAACTGGATATTGCACATCTAAAATTTGACATTGAAAGATTATTCAAGGATGAAGTGCTTTTGG